CTCCGTTGTTACTATTAGAGGTGTCACTGAGCCTGCTGAATATTGTATGTTGGTAATTCAGGATTTTATGGCTTTTTATCAAGAGAAACAGTTATGTTACATTCCTGAAGAGCACATCATGCAAAACAGAAATATACTATATATTATACTATTACTATAGCGCAGCTCACTTGCAGCTTATATTCCCCTTTATATCCACAGGGCCCAATACGGTGACTACTATAGAACAGTTCACTCCCACTCTACATCCATGGGGTCCAATATGATGACTGCAATAATACATACCAGCTTTTCTCTATACCTACAGGGCATACAATTATGATGAGATGACTACAGTCAGCGCTGGCGGATCGGAGCGGGGAGGAGGGAATCCAGCCCCTCCCCTGTCACGGCAGAGAGCCGTGACAGGATCGAGAGGTGAGCGAACGCCGCTATGTGTTCGCTCACCTCCCGATCTACTGAGCCGACCTGTGACAGTCTCATTGTCACAGGTCGGCTAGAACCATAGTTCTCCTTTAACAGGGAGAGTCAGCCCAATGTGCAGCTCTGCGCCTGGTCAGACAAGGTGCAGATCTACGGCTGATATCTGCGCTACATTGTAGCACAGATAATAGTTTATAGGTCCGCAGTCACTGCAACATTCCTGAGACAAATTGCAATATGCGATTTTCCCAAAACCTCTTCAACAAAAGGCGCACTGCGTTGTTTATTTGCCACATGTGCACCGAATAAAAATGTTTTGAACAACAATTTTGGGGCCAATGTAAATTACCTTCAGCACACAGTCAGTTCAGTTGTAAGCAAATAACCCCCTTAAAGCTCGATCATATATATAAATACAATAAATTATTAAAACATTAGATCAGTTAATTTATTCTTCGTCAACAAAATCCTAAAAAAAAAAAAAGACAAAAAGCAAAAATAAAAAAGGAACTTCCAGAACTGTTAAACTCTTAGGGCCTGTTCACACGACGTCCGTTTTGTGTGCTGACCGGCTCCGTACGCTGCTGCACTCAAAATGCATCCCAATGTATCCCTTTGTGTTTTATGGGCTCCAGTTCTCACGTGCGCAGTCCGTTCAGCTTACGACAGAAAAAATACTGCATGTCACATTTCGTCAGGTCCGGAAACGGAACGGATACGCAAACGCGTCAAAAACGCATCAAAAATGCACTGCGCTGCAGCTAACATACTGCGTTCACACCTGACCGTTTTGTAGCGCGTCCTACGCTCGACGAACGATCTACAAAACGGTCAAAAAAATAAATAGCATTGTAGTCAATGCCCTCGTTCCCACCTAGGCGTATTTCCGCCCGTCCCCAACGCCCTACAAAACGGCCCACGCCTGAAAAGGTCCCGGGACTACTTTGGGCCGTTTTGTAGGGCGTTTTCCATTTGGATACTGCCAATCGCGGTAAAAAAACGCGTGACAGACGCGCATATTACAATACGCCTAGGTGTGAATGGGGCCTAACAGCCCCACTCCAGCAAAAAAAAACAAATGTTTTTTTTTTTTTTTGCTGGAACGCATCCAAAACGCGGCCAAAACGCAGCCTAAAACGCAATGCATCAGCAGCTCCACGTCTGCTGATCAGAACCTGATCTCATGTGAACAGGCCCTTAGCCTTAAAATATTTAATATCCCCTTTTGTTGGATTTACAAAAATAAATTCATTTCCAGCATCATCATCAACTGCATCTGTGACAACATCCAATGGAATCATTTGACTGCAGCTGTTCCCCTAAACAATTAATACCAATCAGTTCCTGCTCAGAGTGCAATTTGATTGGTTGGTACAATAGCTACACTTGTGTTTTTTTTAAATAATTTTGAATGGTTGGACCATTGGGGTTTGGCCACCATTGGAACCAAACACCTTCCCACGTTACGATTGGAAACATCTGCACACCTGTTGAGAACTTACAAAGTGAGCTTAGTCTGATGTTGCACATTTACTGGCAATGCCTATGCTGATCTCTTGTGGTTATACGCGGCCAGTGACATTTCATGAACCCACCTGTTCCTGTCTTGGTGGTCCGTACCGGCGTGTACTGGTTCTTCGAGGTCCGGACTGGTGTGTTCTCCTTGGGAGAGTTATCGACAGCTGGGATGGTCTCTCGTTCACAGTGCGGGATGGGGATCGGCCCCTGTTGTATCAAAATGTCCGCAAGGGCCCTGTAAGAGAAGCAGCGAGAATGGTGAGACCAGACATGAGACAAAACAGCCGCCATTTTCAGCCTATCACAAACCTAGAAAATTGAAAAACATTTTGTAGATCTCCTTCAATCTGAACTGAATGCGGCAGCTACACAGCAATGAACTTTACATATGGTTAACGGACGCATTTTGGGTCTGAAGGTCAGTTTTAAAGAACGAGGATAAAAAGCACATTGCGGTCACTTTTCATACTACGTTCTGTTCTTACCCCCCTGAACTGATCATTTCCTCCAATATTCTGTCCATGGATGTAGATTAACTGCAATGCTAAGTAAAGAATGGCACAATATAGATAAAGCAGGACAGCATTACTGATGGTATGGAACGGCAACACTATATAGCCAAACATCTGTGGTCACCTGACCATCACACCTATTAACTTGTTGGCCAACCCATTCGAAAACCATGGCCATTAATATGGAGGTCCCCACCCCCTAGCTTCACAGCCATAACAGTTTCCACCCTTCTGCAAAGGATTTCGACAAGATTATGGAGAGTCTCTGGGAATGTGTGCCCGTTTGCCATACTGAAGTTCTGCCTCACAAACTGCATTCCAGTGATGTTCAGTAGGGTTGAGGTCAGGGCTCAGTGAAGGCCACTCAAGTTCCTCCACACCAAAATGGCCAACCTTCTTCTTTATGGAGCTGGCTTTGTGCACAGTCATGCAGGAACAGAAACGGGCCTTCTCCAGAGTGTTACCTCAAGGTTGTGCAAATAGTGCACAATCGTCTAAAACGTCTTTGTAGGCAGCAGCATTAACCGTGCCCTTTACTGGAAACACCTGAACCCAATCATTTTGAGGAGGGGGTTCACATATTTTGGCCATATAGGTAGGTGTGACGGTGAGGTGTCCACAAACGTTTGACCATATAATTGTATTTTAACATACAGATGAGGACAAAAATGTGATACCCTTACAGCTAATTAAAACAAGTCTTCATTTCTCTTGAAAAAAATGAAAAACCTAAAAGTAATTGTCTCATGTGTACTTGCATGGCTTTGATGTGTCATAGAGCAAAGCAAAGTGTGAAAAGAGACATTATTTCCTATTCAATAAAATATTCTACAATGGCCTGGACAGATTTGTTGGTACCCCTACAAACAGATTATAAATAAATTGCATCACAGTGATATTTCTGTAATTTGTATCACACATGTCTTCAATCTTGTAGTCAGTCAGCCTATTTCTATGGAGAAACGTGATTGTATCATCTTGTGCACCACACTGAACATGCACCAGAGAAAGCAAAGGAGAAAGCTGTCTTCAAGTCTGCGGCTTGAATCCTGTGCCCGGGTCTGCCAAAGGAGTGTACCCGGGCACAGGATTCCAAAACCGGACTGTCCGGGTCATTCCCGTACAGGTGGCAACCCTAGTCTGAGGTGGTCAGAAAACTAAACACCAGCAAGTCAAAGATAAAAGGCTATTGGACCATCTCCAAGTAGCGTGATCTACCTGTGGCTACAGCTGCAAATATTCAGAATTTTAAATGTCCATAGGAGTGTAACCAACCTCCCTGGACATGGCCACAAGACAAACAAAAGCAAATAATGCAAATGGTAGACAAAGCCAAGAAAAACCTCCAAAAGAGATACAAGCTGAACTCCAAGGTCAAGGTACATCAACGTCTGTCAGTTTGTGAGAAAGAAGACTCCACTGTTGAAAGAATAACATAAAAACGCCAGACTTGCATTTGCTAAAATGCATATTAAAAAGCCACAATGCTTCTGGGAGAATGTCCTTTGGATACATGAGACAACACTGCTGCTTTTCAGCGCTTCACATGAGCTCTATGTTCACAATTGAAAAATGAAGCTTTCAACGAAATTTGGCAGTTAGTGAGTGGTTTGGATTGCACAGACCTGCGCGGTTGCATGAACGGCCCCCATAGCAATATATGGGATCGTTTATGTCGGCGGATCCATGCGGCCGAACCGCCCCGGTGTGAACGGGGTCTTAAACACTTATTTGCAGTGACTGCCACTAAAGGATATGCAGCAAAATATTGGGTTAAGGGTTCCATCGTTTTTGTCCAAGCCATTTTGTCCTATTACTTAAAAGTTCAAAAGCAAAGCCTGATTTTTATTACATATGATGGATGCCAATTACAATCGGTCAGTTTCAAGTCCCTTCAGAGAAAATTGCCGGTTCTTCTTTTTCTGTGGAAGGGCATCAACAAATTAGTCCACGTCCCTACATTGAATATTTTTTTTGAATATATAACTGGACTGAAGAATGGTCTCGATGTTTTTCCAGCCTGTTAAGTCCCCATTGATCATAAAGAGGAGACTTCTAAGCAGGTTGTCATGCATTGTCTGCACTGAAGACTCCAGTGAGTTTTTGCATTACGAGTCACTGACAGCTTTAACCCAGAAGTTCCACTTGATCTCTCTAGCCTCCCGGAGATGGGACCTGCTGCTGGCTTCTCCGAGCTCAAATCGGAAAAGGTTACCCCATGTCTATCATTTCCATGGTAACTCAATTCCTTTACATCATCAAGCAAAGATGAAAATAACATGCATGATGAGCTCCAGTTGCTTCCCAATGAAGAAGAGTACATCAAACAAACTCTCTGTAGCTCTGAAGTAACATTGCAAAAGAAATGTAAGTGCAGCTCGGATTTTGCATGAATCTGGGTGGGATTTGATACCCAAAGAGGCCAATGGGCTAATTGACTTGCTACTGTTGGGCCTACAACCTTGTTCCTGCAGGAGGAGGAAGTGATAAAAGAATGCAATTTGACCCTGACAAAAAAAACCCAAAAATTAAATCTTCTACACCACTCGACCCTCATCTTTCCAGAGACAGGAAGTTCACAAATATGGGACACAAGCGCGGCGTAGGGTTGCCACCTTTTCTTCATGAGAAACCCGAACACTCTAGCGACACACGAACATTTTTTGGGGAGAATGAGACATGGCTTAGTCATATGTAAATAGTGCCACCCATTCATATGTAAATATCACAGTTGAGGCTATTTTCAGTGGGGGGGGGGGGGGGCAGTAGCCCCTATCTTAACTTTAGTTGCCCCTGCCTGCTTGATATCTTGTGTCCGGGTTTCTGTTGCCATGAAACCCGGACACAGCATTCAAAACCCGGACTGTCCAGGTGAATCCTGGACAGGTGGCAACCCTAGCGCGGCGTGATCTCAGGGCCGGATTTCCCACAAGGCCACTTGGGGCAGCAGGGAATAGAGGGGCTGCACAGCCGTTGGCGGGTAGTTTTTTCTACATTTAGCCCTGCTTCGGGGCAATTGAGGAACCTGGCCTTGGGGCAGCAGAGAGAGTAAATCCGGCCCTGCGTGATCTAGAACCACATATGGTTCTCCAACCCTTAGAATTTGCAGAGCTCCCTAAATGACATCATATTGGCATGCTCTTCTTTTCCTCAGTCCTGGTCTGCAATTACAGTGCGCACTGCCAACAGGATGATATAAACAACGCGTTGATGACAGCTCTCAAAGCACAGGGAAGCAATATATTTACATCTCTGATTAGATGTAAAGGATTCATGTATTATAAAAAGTACAATTATTCTTTAAGCTAAATCTCCAGGGGTAGCATTGCTGCAGCAGCTCGCTCCTTT